ACTGAACTTGCTCTTTCACAAATCAGGTTTCATTTTGTTATATTGTAAATATATAAATAATAAAAGGGCGTTCGAAGGTGAACAAAAGGAAATAGTAATTGCTCCAAATTCCATTCGCTCTGGAAATATAACTAATATCTCGATCAGGTTATATATCCCAAACGGAATATATCTAAACTATAATCTGATCAGACTATATACTACAAACGACATACAGTTTGACAGTCTAAATATATGCCATTCGAAGTATACTTCGCTTTTCGGTAGTGGGATTAGACTTTATATGCTGATCTTACGAATGTCTAGCCTAGCTATTTTCTGGTAGAACTGGAGGCTAAAAGAGACGAGATAGCAATCATGCTGAGCAGGATATTCAAACAGAAACTTGTATGTAGAGTCCTGCGGGTCTGAGATTTTCGAACCCAATCTCGATCCGGTCTCATAGATTTGAAACCCGTTCCGGACCCGCCAGAAGCTTCGGGATCCTTATTTTTCAAACTAAAACCTGCCCCCAACCCGCTCGAACCGAATTTATTTTTTAGTGAAGTCCCCTCTTTTATTTCTGCATTAATAAATCTCTACACGTAGATGTTCTGCTTCTTTCACAGCCAAGAAGGGAAACTCAATTAAATTGATGGTAGTTTTAATGACAGTGAAAATTAAAACCTTAAAGAAATTTTGTTTCTATTGCTATTTTAGTGATAAACGTTTAGCAGGCTCAGAAACATTATCTCTTTGTTATTTTTGTCTTTTGAATAAAAAAATAGTGCAACCTTTGAAGAAGAAACCCGATTCCGTTCCAATGAACTCAAATCCGTCCCGAATCCGCGAGATCGGGTTAAACCTGCAGGACTCTATTTGTATGATTCTTGTCACTGTTAAACTCTGAAGCGTTTTTTTCCACAGGATCCTTTTATAAAACCTTTTTGATGTTAGCAGCTGTTACCCGTCGTGGTATATTTCTGCGTCTATCTATCATTCTCGTAAAATGTAGTTAATCGTTTAAAAAAAGTTAGAGTTCATTTTTGAAAAAAAGTTCAACTTATGGAGCTTATAGCGCAGTAATAGAGATAAATTTATGGGAATAAACAACTTTTTGTCACATTCTCTAACTTATTTCATTTACACATCTTTTATCTTCTACAAGAAGTCGTTCGGACTAGGCATGTATCGATATCGTACTTCGCTAAAATCTTTTTGAAAAAATTATTTTTTCCGCGCTGAAACTTAGGAAATAGTCTAATCTCAAACGCTCTCTTAAGTTTCGGTTTTTATGATGTACATAATAACAACTTTCGTGATATTCTTATCAGCATTCCCCGTCGCCACTTTTATGTGCACACATGAAAAACGTATTTTTCAATATGGAATAAATTATCACAGCATGATTGCTATAAGACCGAACGTCTTAGAAAACTCTTCGCATAATATAAAGATATCTTCTGTTGCATTGAAGATAAGTAGATCTAATTTCATATATGCTACACTACTATCCATAGTGATTTTCTTTTACATCGATTGATCGCCTAAGTTGCGTAAGTCAAGCCGACATCTTCATTTTAGGCATTCAGGCATGGAATTAGATTTTCAGGAAGCATCAGAACTGATATTCGATGACTTTTAGGTTTTCTTCAGTAGCAATGTCCGTGATCGACTTCTACGTCAATAGTTATAACCTGTGCCATTGTGTGTGGAAGAAAAACCTTGTCAGGGTGGTATCTTCGGTAACAAAAGGTGGAACTCCCTATATTGAACAAGGTAGGTCAATAAAAATTGCTTAGAAACGAGTTGCTACTATTGTGTTTTGTTTTGGGGTGGCGCACTAAAAATTTTTATCTCATCAAAAAAATATTATTTTCTAGCGGTTTAAACTATTTTATTTAGAAGTGAATATACCTAACAATTCTTCTCCTAATGCGCCGAAGCATTACATAGTTGAAGAGTAGTTTAACATGATGTTTTCCTGACCGTACATTAAATACATAACAAGAAAACAGAAAAAAAATTAAGAGAAAAAAGAACTGGGAAAGGAGGAAATTTGGTGGAACGTTACGGTTAGAATCTGGCTGTTTGAATTACATATTGTATTATAAGCTTATAAAGGTCGTTATACAATGCTAAACCTAGATTCTTTCGTAGTAGTAGTAGATTTAGGTTAATGTCACAGTTCGGATCACGTAGTTTTATTTGTTTAAACAGACTTGCTCCCGTCAAACGATAACTACGACAAGAAAGGAAATAATGTTTTACCATCTCGGTCGCCACACTCCTCATTAGAAACCAGATGTCGTTTGACCAGATCGTTGTTCAAAACTGAAAAGTCCACTCTCATCTGATTAAGAGCTATATCTGCCGTTCTATCTACTCCGCGTTATGGTTTTAACAAGTTTAAAATGTTGTAATAAATCCTTGGCAAACACTTTATATGTAATAATTTTCCTCAGCTGCACAGGTAGAAAGTTTCATATGTTGATTGTATGTGGAAAAAGGGAAGACAAAAACGTTTCAATCTTTCCATAGATCGGTTGAATCAGATCTAACTCGTTTGATCTCGTACTATAAGCACAATTTACTGCGAATTTTTTATATGTTTACACAAAAAAGTGCGGGGTTTGCCTGGTTATGGCCTTATGCATTAGCTTTAATTTGAACACTTCGAACGACGCATGCAATTCCACCCATCCAAGAACTTCCATCACTTTCGGTTTATTATTTAAATGGAGTGCACCAGAAACAATTAAACTAGTATGATACTGTAGCTGATCGAATATATGAATGGTATGTTTATTTATGTAGACGGCACACGCGTAAGTTACTATGGGGGAAAACAAAAGATTTGTACATTTGGTTTAGTGTAGATGTGCTAAATATTTTTTGGAACTTCTTCATTAGATTTAAAATTTTATTACATTTACTCAGCACATATCCTTCATGAGCTTTCCAGTTTAATTTTGTGTTCAAATCACTCCCAGATGTTTGTGCTCAGTAACTTCTTCCAGTACTGTTTTCCTAATTAGAATCGAGCGTAACTGTGTTTCGTTTATGGTTAAAAGTCATGCTTTCGCATTTATTTTCGTTCAGCGGTATCTGCCAAGCAACAGATCATTCGTAGTCTTTTTTTAGATCTTCATTTAATACACTTGTGAGTACATTCATGTTCTTATGAGAATGATGTACCACTGTATCATCAGCAAAAAGTCTCATGGTCGACGTTAAACCGAGTCCAATATCATCGATATACACTAACGAGGGAACGTTCTTAAGTGCCCCCTTGTTTTTTTCCACGAAACCTAGTGGGTTATAGGTTATCGATGATGCTGATACGACTATGAGAGCTGCTCTTAGGGCTTCGAAGACTCGGTTTTCTGAAAAACCACTAAAACTTTTCCTAATGAGCCATGCTTATAGCTCGCACATTTCTGATTAAAATGAGACCTCTCCCCAGCTCTACATGACCTTTCTTTGCAAAGTTATAGAATTTACAAGAAAAGCCCTAAATGTTCATTGTCAGCTCAAAGCTACAGAAATAAGAAGAAATTAATTTAGGGCTTTTCTTGTAAATTCTATAACTCTGCAAAGAAAGGTTGTGTAGAGTTGGGATAGGTCTCATTTTAATCAGAAATGTGCGGGCTACAAGCATGGCTCATTAAGAAAAGCTCTGGTTGTTTTTCAGAGTTTCTGAAAAAGTGGTTTTACAGAAAACCGAGTCTTCGAAGCCCTAAGAGCAACTCTCATATTCATTTTCGGAATCAGCATCATCGATAACCTATAACCCACTAGGTTTCGTTGAAAAAGCGAGGGGCACTTAAAAACGTTCCCTCGTAAGAAAAGTAAGGGGCCTAATACGGAGCGTTGTGGTACACCTCGATTTATCGGCAGCGTACTAGACTCTTTCCCATTAATCACAGTTATGATCTTCCTATTGATTAAATAATTATGAAATCACTGAAGCAGCGAACCCTTAATTCCTTTATACTCAAAGCTTATACAGCAGTGCCCTAATCCACACACCATCGAAACCTTTGGAGAAGTCAAAAAAAGCAGCACGGGTGACTAAATTTTGATTATTACCTAAATGAATAGTATGAACGAGATCTATTAGTTGATTTACAGTTGAGTCACCTCTTATAAGCCGGACTGCGTGGCAGACAATAAATTGTTTTTTTGCAAATACTGATATAAGGTTGTATGCACTACCCGCTCAAACACTTTGCTTAAAATTGGCAAAAGCGTGATTGGCCTGCAGTTGGATGGATTTGAAGAATCACCGTCCTTAAACAACGCGTTTACATATCCTGTCTTGAAAGATTCTAGATAAATTCCCGTGTTAAGGGATTGGTTGATCATCTGAGTTTTCGCCACTACTTTGAAAAAAGGAATGATCTGTTATTGGTTTAAAGAAAAATGAGCAACGACGACTCGTTAAAAGGTTGTGACTGCCTAAAAAGCATTTCCCTGATATCATTCGATATCAGACGGGTACGTAAGCGGGTGTGACCGCCAATTTCAGAGATTGTGTCCTCCAGGGGGAGGAGTGGTCAAATTTATCTTAAAAACAGCGGTTTTAGGGTATAAAACTGTTACTCCCTTTTCTTCGAAGGTAGTGAGGGAGTTCCACAAAACATATGCCGAAACGGTTATGTGTAGCTTAAAGGCTAAAGAATGTTTTTATCATATTTCAGTTTACATCTACGTATTTTTATTATACTTTAAAAAAAATTTATTCTTTCATTATCAAAAATCAAACCACAGTTTAATAGTATTATCAAAAGCATTTTCATCTATTTGTTCATTCATTCATGAAGAGAAAAGACAATTAAAAAATAAAACAGCAAATACATATAAAATATCTTAAAGATATGAAAACAACTACGTATCTAACAATAAAAAGAGATTCAAAAACAATTGATTTAGGCTTGTCTTTCACCAAGAAAATGCTGTTGGTGAGTTTCTTTTATAAATAAAGATTAGAAAAATCAAAACAATCAGATACTAAATTATTATAAATGCCGAAGATCATTTTCCAAGCCGTATATTTTTGCTTTCAAATGATTTAATTCACCTTGCATTTCTTTTGAACGTTCTGCAGTTTCTTTAACATTTTGTAAAACATCGATTTCATCAGCATTACCAGTAAAATTAACCGTCACCTAATCAAATAAACAACGTAATTAAGGTGTATCAATCACAGTCACATTGTAGAGTTTTTATATCAGAAATCTGAGCAGAATTGCTATGCCATTTATATAGAAGAAACGTATTTACTGAAATACTTTCGTCAAATATAGAGAAAATACAAAGTTATTCCTAAAACACTCAAATGAACAATTTCCTGCAATTTTTTCTAACTTTTCTACGAATATCCTATAGCGTTTAAGAGGTCCGTTTGGCTCGCATCTCAGTGGCCGTAAGTCTTATCTAAATAAAATCGTCAGGCAATGTTGATTTTATGATTGTACACTTCCGATAAAATTTTAAGATGCTATTTGTCACCGTTTCGGAGATGTTACTCTATAAGGTCAAAATAGGATTGCTCTTGGCAGCACGATTTCACGGTAATAACACGTCCTGGAGAAAATGATGAAAATACATATGACTAGAGTCTAATAGAGTTAAACTCTTGATATTTTGCTTTTCAAATAATGATAAGCGTCAACAGTCAAAAATTCGAAAATGTCTTATTAATGAGACAACAAAGATGTTTCTCGAACCGTAAATCAGGCCACATATCAGAAATCGAGCTCTATTCGTCTCTAGCCACATGTGTTAGCTTCGATTTAAGATCAATCCAAATTCTTCAATATTCGATTTGAGAGAGAATTCCTGTAAATTTGAAATGTTTTAAAGCCAACGTCCCTTTCAAGATATAATGACTCCAGTGTCCCGTATATGTTTTAGGGCTTTTAGCAAAACTCCTAACTTTTGATTAAAACATAATTCAGGGCTGAGAGACGTCTTATTTCGGCCAGAGATATTTTTCTATATTCTAGTATTATTAGAAATTCTTTTAAATTTGATACTTTAACGAAAAAGTAGTTTTTAGAGAAAACAAGGCATGAAGAAAACTTTTCGAAAGGCCATCGAGAAACTTCGATGAATCCCACTATAAATTTTGATAGCAGACATCTGGGGCTATTTGACAATGGGTTTATCTTTAAAAATTTATATTTTGGATCGGGAAAGTAGGCTTAAATGTAATACTTACCCTAAATAGTTGTTTTTCAACATATTTTAATTTTTGCCTCAAAATTTTAATATCATTTTTAAATCCTTCAATCTCCATATTTCGTCGTCTTTCAAGCTCTTTATAACGATCATTGGACAATGTTAAACGACGAGCTATTTTATCTGATCGATCCTAAAATATACAAATTGTGCGTACAATTGAAGTACTATTATCATACGTTATTACTCTAATTCATTTAAGCTTTCTCAACTAGCCGAAAAATAGTAGCTATGCTACTTCTTAGCAGAAATGCAGTGTTTACACATAGGTGCTCGGGGACAACGCTTGTGTTTCTCACCTGGGACAGTTATTTTTATTCAATAATGGAAAATTTCGACAGATTCTAGGCTTTATCCTTCTGAATTGGAAGATTTGTTTCTTTCGCTCTTTCAAACCATGCTATATTAACTTACCTTATATATTTCTCTCGTTACATCTCCTTCTTCTCTAATTTTACATAATTGCTCTTCCAATGATAATACTTGATTTCTGTACATTTCTGATAGTTTATGACTTTGTTGTAATTGTTGTTCTAATTGGTGAATTTCATCTTCATATTTTTTACGTTCTTCTTCCAAATAGAGGGTATCATGCATATTTTGTTGTGAATAATCATTTGACGCGTTTAAAAATAAAATTTCATCTTCTGTTCGTTTTTCATGTTTATCACTTTTATCTAATTCTTGCAATAGACGATCTTTTTCGCTTAACCATGTACGCTCAGCATGACGTAATTCATATTTCGATTCTAGACAATCTTTTGTTGATTCATGTAATAAATTTTGAGTTAACGTTAATCTAGACACAAAAAACTTGAATTAATTACATATATCATTCATCTCATTAAATCGATGGATACTACGTACTTTTCTTGGAAATGTTTAATTCTTTCTTCATCTCTTTTTCGTTGTACGTCGTATTCTTCGATTCTTACCCGTCTATCTTCGAGTAATGATTCAATTTGTTCTTTAGCTAATTTTGTTTGTTCTTCAAGCTGTGCCTGTAATGCATCTATCTGTAATGTTAATGTTTCATTATCGCGAATTTGATTTGATGATGATGTAGTGTGATCAACGGTTGATGATGACTTTTTTGTAGTAGTATCTGGACGAGCTATATGAAAGTAAACGGAATACTACTTTAATGTTATGACAAACAGTAGACAATGACATACAATGGGATATTTTTGATGATGACTGTGGTTGTCGTTCATTTATAACGACAGGAGATATTTTTTGTTCAATAATTCCCTTTCCTGGTGGTTCTTTAATAAAATAAGTTATTTCTTCTTCACTAACACCACAAAGATTTAATAGACGATTGATCTTCTTGCGATCTTGAAGCTCTTGAATCTAAACAAAGAAATAATGGTTGATATAGTCAATACCTTAAAAAATAGCCTTTTACACTTTACACATGTCAAACATCTGTACAAGTCTCTTAAGTTATTTCTAATTGTTCTGACAACATGATTTCATTTTGAGTAATAAATACCGATGAGCATCATTTAGTTTTTCGTACTTTTAGTCGATCATTTTCTGAATATAATCTTAATACTTGTTCTCGTTCTTGAAATAAATAGATTTGTAAATCACTAATTGCTTTTTGTAGTTCAACAATATCACTTTCACGTTTACGTAATTCCCATTCGAGTTTATGCTAACAGAAGACAAACAATTTAATAAATCATCTTAGTAGCTTAACAAACGTGTATACTATACCTGCTCTTCATACGCTAATTTATAACGTTCCAGTTTTTGTAGCATTTCATCGCGTTCATTATCATACTGAGCAATTTTACGTCGATAATATTCAAGCAATTCTCTGGACGGACGTAAATAGCCTAAACATAAATAACGCTCAAGTGAGTAAAAGATATTTCTTATCAATCTTACCTAAGCGTTCCTCAACAGTGGGTAACTTAGCAATTTTAACGGTTTTTGATTTTGTTTCACTTGAATTCGTGCGAGGCATTTCTTTTTTATGCAATGCGGTGATCTATAACACGAAACTTCATAAAAAAACAAAAGTGAATTGAAGTTTCTAATATCGTCTTCAAATCAGTTAAAAACACGGAAGTGATAGATGATTTAGAGTTATCCTGATGTTTCAGAATTTCTTTTACACTATCATTTAAGTTCCTAGAGAATCTGGTTTATGCATTTTAATTGTTGAAAGAATAGAACATGAAATTGTTTTAATGTTATTCAAAGAATAAATCATCACAGATTCTGTTTTTTGAAGTGGAGGTTTGCGGTTAAGAAGCTGAGACTAGTGTAACCATGGATACATCTTCAGATGCTTAAATTGTTGATGCATTTCGACAATTAGTATTGTTTTCCATAGAATAAAAGATGGATTACTCTTAATTTTTATTACATGAAACAAACTATGATCATATTAAAAATTTTCTAAATTATTAGAGGTTCCTCAAACAGAAACGGATTAGCTGATTTATCAGCCATAAAAAAGGTCGGAGCTGAGGAACATGCTCTGAGATGATTCATTTCATTTCCAGCTTCCTTTCTGTTTATGATTAAACCTTTTATTTCTTTCTTTTACTTTTATTTTAAACGGTAGTCTTATTGAGTGAAAAATTTGATCTATGAGTTTATTTATTTTATAGAGTATATTGACGCGCAGATTTTAGAAAATGTCTCCTATTTATTATCCCATCTCCACACATTGCTCCTTTAGAAATTTTTTTACCCTAGTGGGAAAGTTTGGAGAGATTATCTACTGGTTTGGTTGAGACATATGGATCTAGCGAAAACTAGTGTGAATCACTGTTAATCTTCAACTTCTTTATGAAAACAGAATTTGGCTCGGTTGACTAGTACATGAGACAAAACTCGTGTCAAAATGTTTGCAAATCATGTTTAGAACTGTTTTCTTATTTGCCACAAAATCGTTCATTTTACTTCGCTTTTCTACTCTATTGATTATTATGCCTTTTTTTTTTGAAGATGGATTACGTAAACATTGATGGCAGTTTATACGAAGCACGAAATATTATTAGTCAAATGGATGTTGAAGATTTGAAAAAAATAATAGCAAATGATGATGAAATTTTAAAAATTGTTCGAAACCTTTCAGAGGTAAATAAAGACAAGAGACCTTTCTTTTGCAATCGAATCTATTGCAAAACTGTTGTTGTGTTTTTCAAAGGTCCAACAATTAGAAGTAACAAAAGAAAGTTTAAAAGAAAACGCTAAACGTCTTGCATTAAAAAACTTAGATAAAGGACCAGTATTAATTCAAGCTCGACAACATTTAAGTGAATTGCATGATGAACTAGGACAAATGCGTGAAGAATATAAAACAGTTCGACGACAGTATGGTACGGTATAAAAAAGAAAACATTCGATGTATTCAGAAAATCAAGATATTTTTTTTTTTTGTTTTGTAGAAGAGGACACGGGCGATGCAAATCCTGAAATGATTTGGGTTATAATGCAATCAACAGCGTCTGAACTTGATCGCACTACAGATGTAAGCAAAATCTAATTTACTTGCTTGTGTTTATAACTTTGATAACGAAGACATAGTTTGTTATGGTCTGTCGTTTTAGCAAACGGCTGATGACTTTTTCTACGGAGAAAAAACAGAAGAAGAAGTAAGTGAGTTTGAACGTAAATTTATTGAGAGTCGTAAAAAAGCACATGAATTAAAAGTAAAAGCAGAAAAATTAAATGAACTCATGCAAGTGTCACAAGCAACACAGTGTCTTCAGCCAAGAGGTGGTTATGGATTCAATGAATATTAAAAATCACAGTGTTTTTTTTTGTTTTCTGTAAAAAAAAATAAGTCCTTTTTTTTATGCCTAAAGACGCTTTGGTAATTTGTCCACGCTGCATTCCGTGGCTTGTTTAGTGTATTCTTTTCGTTGTGATTCGGTCTTTTATCTTCTATGATTCATTTATCATTTGTCTTTCAGTCGTCTGTTTGTCTTTGTCGCATGATTAATCATTTTAAAGTTTAAATCCAAAAATTTTGTTATTAAAATGTACTAAACTTATCTAGTTTTTGCATTTTATCGCTTATCTTTCGCTTATTTACAAACACTATATGTTTCCGTAACCCATTTTTTTTATTGTTCTCACAAGTCTTTGGTTGTTGTTTATGTGTTATCATTTAACTTTCTTTTTTTTTTGTACGATTACTGCAAATAGAAATTCTTTTTGTTCTACGATTACTGCAAATAGAAACGAGGCTAAAAATATGTATTGATTTTCTTAGTGTCTTGTTAGAAGATTGGCACATACGTGTTGATGTAACGGTGTGATCACACGTCAATGGATATGTAGGCAGAAACTGTAGGAAAGATCACAGCATTCTCATTTGTTGAAATGATTATTGTGATTTGAATAGTTCTCTATCTGAACTAGTTCTATATTCTTCCTACTCTAAGCAGTCTAGATTCATTTTCTTTTACAAGAAGTGTTTGAGAGTACTGCATCTTTCTTTAGTCAAACGTACAATTTCACAACCAAAATCTTTGTTTTTACATACAAAAATGAAAGGACAGTATGCGCACTATAGATGGAAAAGAACATTATTTTATTTTTTTGAGCACATTTAGATGTAATACTATTGCAACTTGAATCAATGTGGCAAATGATGTGTAGTTCTTTAAAATAATTTCTGTATTTGCGTATTCTGCATCATAATTAGTGCAACCGTTTTTTGGATTGGAAGTAAGGCTGCAGTTATTATCAAATATAACATAATCTCTTCTTGTTGATATTGTATTATTCACACAATGGCGTTCAGATAAGTCTATTTAGGAACTGATAATAAAAATTAGGTTCGTTAATTCAGCTTTATATCTCGTTAGTGTGTTATGTCGCTTATCTGAACTGTTTAATAGCTACGAACTTACATTCATATACTTTGAAAAATAAGTAAAATTAGCTGTGCTATTGTACTTGAAACTTATTATTCATGTTTTGGTTTCAAAACAACTATCAGTCAATATCGTATACGTTCACCATTTCTCATTCAAAATAAAATTATTGTCTCATCTTAGAATTAATACCGAATGAACTTGAAAAAACGACACAGTTTATTTTCTTGTAGATATATTTCTTAGAAATTTGATTTGATTTGTCAATAGTTGAAAAATGTCACGTTCAAAAAGGTTTGTATCTATCTATCTCTAATACTTTTTCCATCTAACAGCATTTTTATTTTCATTTAGAGCAGTTAAAGTAGCATCATATACTGAAAAAGATGCTGATTCGGATGATGGTTAGAATTACAGACATTCTGATACATTCAAATGAAATATTTTCTTTTTTCTTTTAAGATTTTGTTTCATCATCGAATAACACAAAAAAAAATCATCAAAGTATAGATAATAAAAAGAATGATCCATCTTCATGTACAACAGCTATTTTGAAACGGAATGAATCCGAACCAAGAACAAAAAAAGAACGGTAAGTAAGAATTAGCAATGGTACTGATTCGAACAAATGAGAGTTACTGAAATAATCTTTTTGATTATGTTCTATGTTACAGCACAATTTTGATTTTGCAGTAGGGAGTATTATGTGAGAGTTGGAGAATTCAATGACTGGAATTAAAAGATTTGAAAGCATCTAGCTGGTTGCTATAAAAGGTTTTATATGGTATCATAGAATGATGCAACTTTTTCATCTTATTCAGAATTACAAAAGCTGGACAAAATCAATTAGATTGTGATGTCAACATCTCTAAAAAAGAATCTATATCAGTTAGAAATGAAATAGTTCAACTGAAGACAAATAGTTCGACTGAATTTCCAGAAACAACATTGACAATAATTGATTACGAGAATGAAAGTAAAACGAAAAATGGTTAGTAACAAAAACACTCACTAGAAAAAAATGTGAATGCAATATTACGATCATGTTTACTGTTTCAGAGGTGAAAACAGCTGAAATGTTATTGACAAATATCGAAAACTATGATGACGTGACTAAGAACAACACTTATGATGATGGTGAAAAAACCCATAACAAAGCAAAAACAATCGTAAAACAAACAGGTAGGTGGTTTCATTAAGGACTGAGATGCATTATCTTCCAAATACATTAATATTGAGAATAACAATATGTTTTTCATTAAATTGAATGAGCTGCTTGCTACTGTTTTAGAAATGGAAGTTGGAGTCGATGATGAACAAAACAATGACAATCTAAACGTGGAGAAAGAAGAAGTGATTGTACACAAATCAAAATCGAAAAGGAGTAAAAAAACAGCAAAAAAGCAGAAAGGTAATTTGTCTTTTTTTAAAGATGAATATATCTTATTTATAATTTTCTTGTCTTTATTAGACGCCATCATATCGTTAGTCGTAACAGGAACAATGCCCGAAATTGATTTGAATGCACCGAGGGTATCCGGACAAAAAGCAGATTTGTTATCAACAAGTTAGTTGTGTATATTTTAACTTTTCTGACGAAAACAAAACATTCCATTTTTGTTTATAGGCATGAAAACAGTGTTAACTGCAACGTCAATATCTCATAATCCTCTTGGTTTTCCGACCGATAAAATTGTTGTTCATTCCCCGGGTGTTCATCGTGTTGGTTTAAGTCGCAAATCGTTTACAAAACCTTTACATCCAAATCGAAATCCTCGAATGGATTTAATATCTAAAGAGTAAACAAACACCCCCAATGTCAAAATATCTTTATTTATTTTCTTTTTCATTTACTTTTTTCTATGGAAAAGTTTCATACTTGTGTACGAAAAATATCTCTTCGTGTAGTATTTATTTTTCCCACAAATTTTCTTATATTGTAAATAGGCTTGGTCAGATTGAATGTTGTTTTTATTATCCGTCAGATAATATGATTTGATTTTCTCATTGTTAATTTTCTCCTTTGTTTCTATTACTGTATAAAATAGAAGAATTATGTTCTATAGTTTAGGAAATGTAATTAAACAAAGTTGCCTTTAATATTTTTCATTATGATAAAAATGCGATTATTCTTCATAGAAACATTAAAGAAACAAATGAGTTTAGCTTCGAAGTTAGTACTACAAATTTATGGTTATTTTGATCTCGTATATTCAGATAGTCTTTTCAAATATCTATCCTTTTACATTTGTTTGTAGATTACTGGAAAAATTCTTTTTATTTATTTTCGATTTAAAACAAAAGTGAAAAGAACTACTTGTGTTTATAATGGTGATGGCGATGACTTTTATTGGAAACACAATGTAAAAAGAATAAAGAAGATGTGTTTGTTCAATTACAAGAAGAAAGAATGTAATTCAAACAACAGCTAATGACAATTAAAAAGAATCCAGAAATGAACGAACTATTGACACCAATCAACAATTACAAAACTCAAACAAGAAGTTAAAGATTTTCTATCAATTCTTTATATAACAAGTATCAATACTTTATATTTTTATTTATTATTTAGACGGTTAAACAGATCAAATGCCTGATATAGTATGTCTAAAAGATAATGTAACAAATATAAGAAAATTCTCCTGTTATAACATGTCAGTTTCTTGCAGACAAAGAAGTCAATACAAAATGAGGCTTTTCTGTAACTTAGTTGTTTAGAGTTTAGAAATCTGGTAAATAGTTAGTTGTAGGTAACAGTTATTTCAAGTTTGACAAGCTATGATGATAGCGTAAAAAATTGCTTATCAGTGATCAAATAGAGGTCAAGTGATAGTGGCCAGTTCCCATATTAAATTCTAAAATTTAGCTAAAAACAGAAGCTCTACAGCTTTTAACTTACGAGGAAGAGTCTATTAGTCTCTGAATGTTCCATTTTATACAGTCCTTATTCCAACAATATCTTCAGAGAGATAAAACTTTGAGATTTTTATCGTAACTAAATCTCATCATATACAACATTTCTTAGAAATTTTAGTCAAATCGGGTGTATAATTCAATTCTTAAATCTTGTTCTAATGGAAATTTCCTAAAGTTTATTAGTTGACTACCTGTTATTCGATTATCTTTTGTTTGTTTAAATGTTATTCAAATAGATATGGATGTTGTCAATTTAAATAGAAGATCCTTCATCATATTTAGTTACAGTTTTACGAACGATATAGTGCCCCACGCATTCATCTGAGGTTAAACAAGTTGAATTACTAAAAATAAAACTTATAATAGTATTACAACTAAACAGAACTAGCTAACTGTCATAAATTTTTGTATGAATCAGATGTCTATATCATTGATACTTGAAACAGACTTTTTTTGTATATTTTTTTAATATTAACATGAAGAACAGTATGCTCATTTTTTAAGTATGAGACAAGTTTTTTGTTTGCAATACGAGACGACGTTTTTTCTATTTTTCATCACTTTATCATTGATAGTTCTCATGTTAGATTTGTCTTCACTCTTATTATTAACATTCATCTTTTTAACTTTTGATATTAGCAGTTCTGACGAGCTGCTACTCATGATGAGAGCCATTTGTTCAAGGATTTATTTTCTCAAAAATTTTTAGAAAAATCAATCGCAGAAAAATTATCATGGCAGCTAAGACTAATATTTTTGTGCTTAAAGATGTTCATACATCACTAATATAAAAATTGGGTTTCAATACGTCTTACACTGTTTCTTATTTTATTTCAGACTAAAAAGGTCCTCTGCGGTCCTGTGCGGTCCTCTTCTTCCTGCATAATGTCTTTTTTTTAAAATTAAATCGATTTAATTTTATATCTTTGTGCAACGGTGCTTCTCCATTTTAGATAAATTATACATTCCAGTTTGCTGTGTTTGAATCTCTTAATTCTAATGTGTGTTTTTTAACCTTATTATTCCATTTTATCATGTAAGTACACAGTATCTGAATTTAAATCTCAAACGGTATTGGGCTTTCGTAGTCTTGGTTCATTCATATGTTAAAAAAAATAAGGAATAGACAAGACTATGGAAAAGGATGAATTTTTCACAGTTCATAGTTGTAACACGTTTACACTAGTTACTACTGCGATGATGAATCAAACAATTTAGACGTTCTCTAATAATATTTGTAAGTGTTATTTTATCCACGAAGTGTTTTGTATTGTTGTTATACATGAAGTTAAAGTTTTATTAGTATATCAGACTCATAAGAGAAGATTAAGTAACATGTTTTGTGATTTATTTGTTTATTTATCTGTTTTTAGTTGTTCTAAATGACTTCGACATCTTCAACTCCTGTTCCATCTATAATAAATTATGATTACAACGAACAGTCGCAGTCTCGTATGACAAAATTTTTAATTCATTATAATCAATTATCAACCGTCATCTATTTACCTAATGATATTCGTCTTGAAAATTTTCTTACCAATATTCGTTCAATTTGTCAATTTCCATCATCTTATGATATTTTCACTATCAAATGGTTAGATGAATCATCAGATGCTATTACCATATCATCACAACGAGAACTCTATACTGCAATTCGATTATATCATAAAAATAATGATAAAGAATTACATGTACATGTGTTTAATACAACACCGGATGAACCGGGACTATTGTGTGCAGGAGAAGATCGAATTATATATAGACGAGGAGCAAGAAGATGGCGAAAATTGTATCTTATTAATGGACATCGTTATCAAGCTAAACGATTTAGTACAACAGCGGCGTGTACAGTATGCAATGATCGATTATGGGGCTTGGGAAGACAAGGTAATGTTTAGAAATAATTATCAAATTGACTTGATTTTTGACACTTCATTTTTTGCATTTTTTTATTCAGGTTACAAATGTATTGATTGTCGTGTGCTTGTTCATAAACGTTGTGTTAAACAATTACGTATTGTTTGTGGTTCATCAACATCGGTTTCCCCTCAACCGTTACAACAAAAAACTAATCTTGATAATACAACTAAACAAAGTGGTGATAGTGGCCGACCATTGTCGACAGTAAATCAGAAAACGCCCACTACCGTTGAAAATCAACATCAACATAATGGATTTCATCCTCATCATCCACATCATCATCAACCACTTCATCCACAAGATAATATTGGACGACATCGACCAAGTGGAGCTAGTTGCATGAATGCAAGAGATCCAATGGCCAAACAAAAAATGTCTGCCATTAATGAACCAGGACCATTAAAACGATTTCCAGGTAAATAGACCTCACTCATCACTAATCTATATTTATAATGTAAAATCTTTAGGTTTATCTGATTTGGATCAACAATTATCATCTAGTACCGCTGATGGTTCGTCTCCTTATCTTCGAAATGAAATGGTCACTGATGATCTAAATTCAAATTATATCGGTGACTCTTCATCATCTATAATCGGTTTACAAGATTTTGAATTATTAAAAGTGATCGGTCGTGGTTCTTATGCCAAAGTGTTTTTAGCTGAATATCGACCAAGATATCGTATGTCATCAACAATAACCAATGGTTATAATCAAAATCAACAACCACGTTTATATGCCATGAAAGTGATTAAAAAATCGATTGTAAATGATGATGAGGATATTGATTGGATTCAGTGTGAAAAAAATGTTTTTGAAAAAGCTACAAATCATCCATTTCTTGTTGGATTGCACTCATGTTTTCAAACACCATCACGTCTATTTTTTGTTATTGAATTTGTAACGGGAGGAGATCTTATGTATCATATGCAGCGACAACGAAAACTACCAGAAGCACATGCAAGGTTTGTTCATTTATGACTAAAAATTACTTATTCTATATTTATTTTATATTAATTGATAGATTTTATGCTGCTGAAATCACAGTTGCTTTACATTTTTTACATGAACATGGTGTCATATATCGTGATTTAAAACTAGATAATGTTCTTTTGGATGCTGAGGGTCATATTAAATTGACAGATTATGGAATGTGTAAACAAGATCTACTAAATGGAGAACGAACATCAACATTTTGTGGAACACCAAATTATATTGCACCAGAAATGTTAAAAAATTTAGATTATGATTTTTCAGTTGACTGGTGGGCACTAGGTACGTTAAAAAATGAATTATTATCACATATGTTTAATTATTCTTCTTTATCTTATTTATAGGTGTTTTAATGTTTGAAATGATGGCCGGTCGTAGTCCATTTGAAATTGTTGGTTCAGCTGAAAATCCGGATTTAAATACAGAAGATCGTTTATTTCAAGTTATTCTTGAACAACCCATTCGTATACCTCGTTCATTAACTGTTCGTGCAAAACATGTTCTGGAAGGTTTTCTTAATAAAAATCCCAAAGATCGTTTGGGTTGTCGTGGTCCAACATGTCGTGACGGCTTTGATGATATTCAACAACATCTATTTTTTAGTCCAATTGATTGGGTTAGACTTGAATCAAAACAAATTATTCCACCTTATAAACCAATTGTTGCCAATGATCATGATTTATCACATTTTGATCCACAATTTACAAATGAAGATGTTGTTCTCACTCCAGAAGATGATGAAGCTTTGGCAAAAATAAATCAAAGTGAATTCGAAGGTTTTGAATATGTTAATCCATTAATAATGACTGTTGAAGGAAATGTATAGACAACAATTAACACTTATCTTAAAAAATTGTCTGATGTTGGGAATTATTAGTTTCCAATTTTCGTAAATTATATTTGCATTCTTTACTTAAAAAGTAGATGATGTTTCTGCTTAAGAGATATTAAAACTGATCTATTTGAAAGTCTAATTTCCATTCACTAATGTGACTGACTGACTGACTACTTTTAAGATATAAAATCAAAATCTCTTAGAAACTTTATGCCACTATTCTAATATTTCGCGCCGTTTTGATGTACTTATTTTGCCTCTGTTTTATTATTCTTTTGTTGCATGAATAAAACATTGTTAATTCATTTTGCTTGTTATGATATTTTTTTTCCTGCTTGTTATTTCACATTCCATATTTTCATTTATTTAATCAGTTTTTTCTTCTTTCCTTTTTTGTAGCATTTGTGTTTCAGCAGTCAATAATCCTAATCATCACCATACCAAAAACAAACAATTTTAAAGAGAAATTTTTTTGCTTAATAATAATTGTATATTTTTAACTTGCTGATTTTCCTATGATGATAATCTATTCTTTATATACTTATTCATATTTAGTTACAACATATGCAATATGTCGGACCGTTGTTTTTTTTTTATATATCTGTTTTTTCTTACTCTTAGCTCATTTTCTTTCTTCTTTTTTCTTTTTTTTCTTCTCTATATGTATATTTAATAATTAAAATTTAGACAATTTTGACCTTTGCATGCTTTAGCATCATCTGTATCAGAATGAGAAAAATGCCCCGTCATCTAAATTTTTGTCGATTTTTCAATTTTATTCATGCTTCGATTGGTTATGAATAGACCGACTCTTTTGAGTTATTGACTATTTAATAGTTCTTTTCATTTGTTGAACATAAATTCAATTATTAAACAACTTGTGTATATTTTTTGGTTTTACGACGTGTGAAATTTTGATAAATAGTAATCATATTCATTAGAGAGAATCTTCTCTTTCCAGATTTGAGTTGTTCTATCGATTTCTATGAATTGCCTTCAATTAAATTTGAAAAACATTTCATTATATATTTCAGCAGTCATGCTATAATCTCTAATTGTTTTTAAAACTACTATTTGAATTGAATCTCAACATTATTTAAATATATTTGCTAAACTTATAATATATTTCGTTTAGATTATTATTATTTTATTTTATTTTATTTTTCTGATATGGATGATGATTTTGGTGGTTTTGAAGCTGCAGATCCTAATACACAAATAAATGCTCCACAAACAAACGTACCACCCACATGGCTCGTTGAAACAGGTAAATAGTTATAAACACTGGCAGACCGGAGCCATCCGTGAAGCTTTCAGCGCATTCTCCATCTTCCTTCGTCTCCACATTTTAACACATGTATTATGCCCGTTCTAGACTATCGCTCAGCCGTATACGACAATTCTACGGAAATCCGTCTAAAATCCTTGAATTCTTTATAAAAGCTAGTATCACGCATCATTACTCAGTGAACGATAGCATTGCTGTTTTCAAACGACCAGACTTTTCAGATCGCGGTTCAAGTCGAAAGTGTTTCCGCTTGACTCATTTTCTTAAAACTTTTATCAAGCGTAGTGTTTTAATGCAGTTCAGTCTTTTGGCCCTTTTGACCATTCGATTATCAGAGAGACTGCGCAATCGTAGGAAGTATTGAAAACGACTCTCGATGCCACTAAATTCACCTTTTTTCTTTGAATGTGTACTGAATGGAACAAACTTTCAAAAACAGTTTTTTTTTATGATATCTTATATTTTAGTGTTAAATAAACACATTGATTGAATAGGAAAATTTCTATTTCTATTTTTAGTTACGCCAAAATCCGATCAAATTGACAAAGAAAAATCACGAATTTCTGTAGTGGATGAACACGCCAGAGATGATAATCAACAAGTAAAACAAAAACAAGGGATTGAGTATATACTTTTTATTGAATCAACTATAATTTCTCTCGTTTAAGATAAAATATGGTAATCAGAATACATCTGATATATATCAACGGTTGGAAGAAAAATTATTAAAAACTGAAACGAATTTAAGAGAACAAGAACAGAAACTTCAACAAATTCAAGTCTGTTTATGAGAGAGAGAGAGAGAGAGAGAGAGAGAGAGAGAGAGAGATGACTTTATTCTTTATAGTTTTTTTTATTGACCATCATTTTAGCAACAACATAAAAAAGATCTTGAAGAATTACAAGATGGAAGTAAAAAAGCACTGACAATTATTGTTCAAGAATATCAAGTAAATGAACAGATACTGATGATTGAAGATATTACTAAAGTATGCGAACATCTACGAACATTCAAACTAAGTTGACCATCGGATAGAGCTCGTCGAGTTAAGTATAAGAACATAAATTATAACTTTCAAAAAATTTGCCATAGCAAATTCTTTGTTCATCTTTAAAAATAAACACTCACAAACACCACATCACTTCTTTTTCTGGGTATTCGCGTATTTTAGTAATACCTGATGATTGATGAATGAAAAAGAATGAATGTTAATTGTTGTTGTAGGAATCAATCAAAGTTGCTGTGTTAGGCGAACGACAACAAAATGAACAAATATTTAAACGATTACTACAAGATTACATTTCGAATAATGAATTAAAACAGGTATTTTTTAAAACAATTTTTATTGTTTTTATTTTATTGATAGTAATGAACACTATTTAGACGACGACAGCTGACTCAATAAATACTAAAGTGGAACGAATGGAATTTGAATTAAAAAGTACATTTAATGATCATTTATCAAAATGTAAACAAGAACTACAGGTACAATTTAGATATACATCGTACATATTTTGTTGAATTCAATTTCTCTGTTTTTTGTTTTTGAGGATTTTGTTGAAAGTCGTGTTGCTGAATCTCAAGAACAATTAATGCGTCATTATACATCGTTGATTGAAGTATGTAGCCGATTTTCTTTTCTTTAATTAGTTTAGATGATTAATAGTTGTTTTTCAATTATTTTCAGGATTTAGAACTTTCATTGAAAAAAATGATAATGACAACGATTGATGATGAGAGAAAAACTACAAAGAATGCTTTATTGAACGAAAAAGTAAGACCATTTTAAATTATGAATGTGATTCTTCATAGCTAATACATTATGGATGTTTTAGAATTCTTCAGTTGAATTCACAACAGAATTAAAAGATTCTACTGATAAACATATTCGACAATTATTTGATCTACAAAAAGAATCGATACAGGTAAACAAATATTAATTTGAGTATAAAACTGCAAATATTCAACATTGATTATGGATCTTAATTATTCTAATACAATCATTATGTAATTGTATTCTCATTTTGTTCTCTGTTTTTTAGTTACAAATAAAAGATCAATATCAATATGAACGAACAAAATTGCTTGAGACAATGAATGAGACTCTAACCGATATTAAAAAACGTTTTAATGATGTGTTTGATGAACAAAAACAACGTGATCAATTATGTTTAAGAAAACATCTAACATGTTTACAATTATTTTTACATAGTGCCAAAGAACAATTGACAATAATTAATGATCAAATGTTAAAGACAGATACAGATGAAATATTATTAAATTTATAATTTATCATTATTAAAAAACAAATCATTATCTCTCTACTTTTATTTAAAAATTCAATATTTTTCGTATTGTACTAGTCATATAGTATTTTTCATACATTCCGGTAGTTTTTATTTTTTATTTGGTAGCCATTTTAGAAACAGTGAACAAATTTATTTAGTCGAAATAAATTAATTTTATTGACCAGTATCATGTTGAAACAGCATTTAATACAAATACATCACTGCGACATTTTGATGTTAGTAGACGTGTTCAAACTTTTGCATGTCTCACACGAGCGTGACCATACCATATTCATACTTAATTTGACATGACTGACTAAAATTATTTCTCTGTAGCTTGATCAAATTTATTTAGTCGAAAGAAATTAATTTAAATATTTAGTATCATGTAAAAAATAGAGTGTAACAAATCTGACTTTCTTACGAAAGCGAAAAACTCAATAATTATATTCATCATTATAACCAAAAGTGTGTCATTTTACTTTCACTAGCAAAAAAAAAATGTTATTTCGATATTTCATCATTTGATTCTTTGTGTGTGTGTGTGTTTTTCTATTACAGTTATATTTTAAATCTCATTCATTCCATAAATCTTTTTATCGAATTTATTAGTGCGAATTTAATTTGATTAAACGATGTTCATTGTATAATAACGTTTTATTTTTCCATATTCGCAATGATTGGGAAGATTTATCAATAAAATGAGTTATAAGTAGGATGCCAATTTTAGAGTTTTTAATATTGCACAGACTTTTTATACAAATGAAAAACTTTTCAATTAAATTTGATGGACATGGCATGTCAAAAACAGTGTTCTCTTTCGCTACATGAGGTAATTGCAACATCAAATACGTCGTCATATATAAACTTTCTATAATTTCACACGTGTCCACAAGTGAGACTTTCTTTTCATGTGTCTACACCCCGTGACGGTGTGTGGTCACTAGTCGTAAAGTGTGTCCATTAATCACGTGCGAAAAATATGACGCGAAGCGTTTCCGTGAGCGGTTCACACGTTGTCCCATATGGACTATATTTTGTACGCACGCTCACACGCCATTTTACGGTGTTCACGTACGACCACAGTTCATTTCATGATACTGACGGGTGTACATGTCATTTTATATACGAAAATTCCCTCATGGGTAAGTTCAAACGTTCAAAATTATTTTAACAAGTGAAGGAGTAAAAATCCGCATATGAGAGACACTTGGAACAATTCAGATTTTCATGAGGAATTTGTTTCCGTTGAATGAGTCGCCGATTTTATTGTGGAAAATGTACGTACGGGCTTTTTGAAGTGAAGATGAAATGTGTAACAAACACAGAAAAATTAATATATTGAGTTCCTGAGAGTTCCTTAATATATACTCTTCCTGTTTTCGATAATAAATTTATTTTTATTTGTTATGTTTCGACCTCGATGGGGCCTTCTTCAGACAAAAATGAATGCGCGTTTTTGAAAAACATGCAGTACACTATTTAAACAAACCAAGTAGTAAACTATTTATATATTTTTAATTTCTTTGATTAATAATAGACCGGACAAGGCGGTAATACTGGATGAGTTACTTATGAGTCTTCTTCGTCCGATCCACTATTACCGCACAGTGAAAAAAAGGTCAGCAGTAGGAGTATGAAAGTGTATTCCGTTTTCGGAGCACTCCTTTTGAAAAAAGCCACTAAAACCACTCTAGTGTACTCGTTTTTTAGAGTAGTCCAGAATACTCCTCAAAAAAAGAACGCTTCGGAGTACTCCTTTTTATAAAGTGCAACCGAGGCAATGCAGAGCACTTCAAAAAAAGTGTAGTTTTTGGAGTACTCCTTTTGACAACATGCACTTCGAGTACTCCGAAGTAATTCTTAAAAAAGGGTTATTGAGATTAGTCCTTTTTTGGAGCATTCTCAAAAACAGTGTTCCATCATACTCCTCCTCCTCTTGATATTTCGTTTTGCCTGGACGTTGTCCTTGATATTGTGAATAGTCAAATTTGATTCTTTTCAATTTAATATCATTTTTGACTAGTTTTTGATAAATAAATAATCAGTGTCCATAATTCGACGATTAATTGAATCGTTTATGTTTGAATAGACTGTTTCTTTTATTCTTCTTTTTGTTGTGCTGATTTCATTATCAATGATGAATGAATGCATTTGATGGATCGAACATACATTGCCATTTGATTTGAGTATTGAATCAAATTTGACTATTCATAATATCAAGGACAAGACGGTAATAGTAGATCGGACGAAGAAGACTTATAAGTAACTCATCCAGTATTACCGTCTTGTCCGGTCTATTATTAATCAAAGAAATTAAAAATATATAAATAGTTTACTACTTGGTTTGTTTAAATAGTGTACTGCATGTTTTTCAAAAACGCGCATTCATTTTTGTCTGAAGAAGACCCCATCGAGGTCGAAACATAACAAATAAAAATTAATTTATTATCAAAAACAGGAAGAGTAACTCAATATATTAGTTCTTAATGATCTTCCTAAACACAGGAAGGAAAAATATTTATTTCAATTCGAGTGAGATTCGATTTCAAGCTACTCGATCTAATCTCTAGAGAATGTAATACGATATAATCAAGACTTTTTTTTTTTGAATGATGTAAAGATCGAGTATGTGGTTTAAAGAGTGATCTTTTAATGTATTGTAAATGTTTAGCTTCAAAGTCTAGTATAAATTTTGAGAACTAAGGGAACAGTTTGATCCCCAAACAAGTGACTTTTGATCCCCAAATCAATTAAAGATATTTAAATTAAAGAAAATATATACAAGAAGAATATATAGCAATTTAATGGAAAATTGATTGCTAATTAATTAGTGGACAGACAAGAAAAAGAATATAAAGAGAATATATACAAGAAATGAACATAAATATGAACAGAATATGAAGGAAATATGAAATATGTCAACAGCTGACGGTTTTCGAAATTGTATTGTCAATGATTAAGTTTTTGAAAATTTCATTGGTTTTGTCAACTCACAAGAGCTATAAATACCTGCCCTATACTATAGACGATACCATTACAAAAATGTCGAAGCAAGAATGAAAAGTATTACAAACAACTACATCATTCGATGAAGCAAAAGAATACGCAAAACAGTTTAATGTTTGTCAACGTCGTCGATCAGATTTAAAAAATCATACAAAATATTCGTTCAAATGTAGTGAGTATAGAAAGTATCCGTTTTGTTCTTTTGAAATTCAGATAAACGTGCTGGATAGTAATCCGCAATCAGTGATGATCATGTCCAGAAATGAACACGAACAGGAAGAACGCAATCCTACAACACGTTTACCATCACCCATTCGGAAATCGGTGTCAAAATATGTTAAATGGGGATTATCACATACACAAATTAAGCCATCATTAGTCAAGATCATCCAAATGCTCCCATCACGGAAACGAAGTCAACTAATTTAGTATCGTACGAACGTCGAAAGGATAGACTAGAGATTTTTCAGTTTTCGATTTACGAAACTGGTGTGACGAACATAATGAAGGTAAGCAGATACATTCAACTTTTGTGCCCTTTTATACTATTTTAGATATAAACAATATTTTCGTATTCTTTATCACAAAACAATTATTCCAACAGATTCGGCTCACAACATATCTCCAAGTTGATGCAACGTACAAAATTACGTGGAATGAATTGCCACTTTTGGTTTTTGGATCAACGGATGCTTTGTTGCTATAAAGTGAGTATTTTTGTTGTATATTTTTTCTTTAATTTAAATTTTCGTTAATTGGTTTGGTGATTAGTTTTTTCTACTCCGTTCATATTTCTTATTGTATATATATTCTTCTTCTATATACTGTTCACTAATTAATTTTCTATTAAATTGCTATATATTCTTCTTGTATATATTTTCTTTAATTTAAATATCTTTAATTGACTTGGGGATCAAAAGTCTTATTTTTTGGGGATCATTTCACTATTAATAAATCTGGGGATCAAAAGTCACTTTTTTGTGGATCAAAAAAATTGATACCCGTTATTTCTTAGAAAACGACTAGAATAATTGTCACTTAAAAAATGATAGATATATTCACTACTATATTCTGATAAAAGAAAATTGATTATTCTTCTTGAATCAAACGTTATTTGTATGTTAAAGAAACAATAATACAAATAAACTGAAACTTCTTTTATAATTAGTCTATGACTCAAGTAGTATTCACACAAAATTTCAAGTTATTTGCTATTATGGTTGTTGAGTTATGGTGAGTACTTTTAACCATTGCCTTCTTAAAGAGAAAAAATGACTATGATAAAAAATAATTTGATGTTATTAATAAATTCTCGTTTATGTAGATGCTACCAAAATTCTGTTAGTACGTTCTATAAAAGATGGTGATTATTTATCGACAACGAACGGGAGTAGTTTTTTTATTAATAAAATGCGCAACTTATACAAAAAGTAGAAACAAACAATTTATTCTATTCATTCGCATCGAAGAAGAAAAGAGCAAAAAAAAAAACCGATCTATCAACTAAATACTCTGTTGACTACGTCTACCGCATACTTCAAACACACTAACACTTTAGTGGTATTTTCGTACAGTTGCTTACAATTTTCATCAATGTATCGTTGATAAAAGTATTGAATAAACTGATTGAATAAAACTATATGTAAAAGGTTTTTTTACCAATATCTGACGTAACTTTTATATTCCTCGTTCTATCCGTTTGTTTAATATAACGCACTCATTAAACGTTCTGTTCAAAATGTCAAAAGAAATCTTGTCTTCTTCGATAGAATAAAATATAGTTCGTTTCTGTTTCTTTTCTTTTTTGCCTACAATTGCAATAGTCAAATGGAACTATGAAAAGGTAACGTGCACATGGTATTTCACATGGTATTTATTACAGTTACTGTGAATGTATGTGTGTCTATTTATGTAGCGAAAATGAATAGAATTACAGTTGACTAATATATTGAGAACAGCGATGAAAGGAAGAGAAGATCATTACAGTCGTTCAAGGTATAAACTTCATGGGTAAGTTTTTTGGTTTAATTATCGGACAATGTGCACAATGTACCATAAAAATCATCGACTTTTGAACGAGGAGTAAGATTTTTATATGCAAGTTTATACAGTGGATTCAGAGCAATATAAATATCTATCTACTACTATATCAATAAACATCAAATTTAAAGAGCAATAAACTGGATAATCTTTTTTAAATTTTGCATCAATAGTTTGAATTTGGTTTAACTAACCCTTCGTATATTCGTATAAAGAAAGAAAAGTAAGGCATATAGACCAATAAATCATTAGAAGGCTCTGCATTCTGTGTATTTTCGAATAAAAACGACAACTTCTTAATTGTTCTTTCTGTGTTCTTTTTCTTTCTGTATTTTGGGTAGCTACGTATAACCTGTAAAAATAAGGACAATATGGCGTATCTCTGAAGGGAAAATATATTTTACCAACAAAAGATCTATAGAAAATAAAATAAATTAACTGTTATTTGGTAAGTGGTAGAAATGAAAAAATCTTCCGTTTTGCAGTAATTAAGTGGATTGTTTGTGCAGTTATACATAACTAAGACTGCCAATTTATCATATAGTAAAAGTATCTCATATGACAGACAAAAAAATAAAGTTCATTTAGAGTCTTGGAAAAGTGCCTTTTGATATTCAGCACACTCAATAACCCAGAAGATTTTCTGTTTTTGACGAGAGATGTTGCCAAAAATTTAGAAAAAATTATCAAAATGGAGAAAAAAAATTTTCATGGAAAAATAACATTAGTTTCAAAAATTTGCCTAAACTTTTTGTCATACCTCTCGTCAAAAGCAGAAAATCTTCGAGATTATCGAGTGTTCTGGATACGAAAAATCACTTTTCCGCAATTCTAAATAGAATTTTAGCGTATTTGTCTTTATCTGTATCTGGCATATACGACATTAATGATGTCACATTCGGATATAAATATGTGACATACAGGAAAAAGAAAAAGAAGACTTACATGACAGAATTCTAGTGAACTTTATTTTTTTCTTCACGTTGATATGAATTTCTATTTCAATTTTACTCGTTCGTATATAGAATTCTTTTTGTTCCTACTTATTTTTTATCATTAGATTAACACTTCGAGTTAGATGAAAAGTAGCGTATACAGTAACCAGACATGGTTATTATTTCTGTCTTACTTAATTTTCTATATCATCCATTTTAAGTATATACTGTATAGATGATGTTTTGCAAATCGTAACACTGTAAGCATACATACTAGTTGTATCATTTATAAATTCATGCCGTAAGGGAAGTAAAATATATCTTTATTTCCGAGTAAGCATTGCTTTGCAATCAATATATATCTATATATTCGATGGAGTTCTTTTGACTTACACGCCTATTGTTATTTATGATCCTTCATTTACTCGTCAATAATCAAAATTTCCGTACTTGTTAAGACGCCAAATAACGAAAAATTCGAACATTGCTAGTAAATAAGATTTTTCTAATCAACAATTGAGAAGTGATTATATCGATTTTCTGTTATATTTAGATCATAAAATTTGTTATGTTTTGACTATAGTCAACAGTGATCAAACGTTTACATTCCAAAATAATCTAAATGAAAAATGACTTCTTCTCGATATTTATCTTGTAAAAGTTATCTTGTCCATTTTAAAGGGACAATCATTCTCACAATTGTCTTCTTATTTTTAATTTCTGTTTATAAACTAAAACGACATTATTTTATCAGTCGTGACAAAATTATCGATAATTATTTTATCAGTCCAACAATATACCCGTTACCAGGTCAAAATTTAAATATTCTCAATTATTTTCTACGAAAAGACAGCATGAAACAAGTGGAAGACAATGAATCAATGGCTAAAAAAAAGAAAGTGATTTTATATAATCAATTTGAAAGTATACCTCGTCAAAACAAAAATTATTTAATTGTCGCCTACACAGATGTTTTAGGACAACCTCGTTTTTGTTCAACGTCAGATAAGACGATATTTGGTGAACAATGTCCATATTCAAATTGTCATTACACTTGTAATCATTCATTAATGAGTGAAGCCAATCTTCTGTTAATGCATAAACATGATATTAATATGGATAAATTACCCGAGATTAGAGATCCAAATCAAATATGGCTATTTTGGCTAGATGAAGCAAATGAAGATACACCAAAATATGATAAATTACATATGAACTGGACAATGTCTTATAAATTCAGTGCCGAAGCATCATTAGCATCATATGGCATTACATTGTTAAGACAAGAACCATTATCTCATAATAAATTTAAAAATTGGATTAATCAGAATTTTAAACAAAGACACAATCAGGCGATTTGGTGAGAACCTAAAACTACTTCTTCAATATTTTCACGTAAACGATATATTTTATCGTTATCTTCGTATTTTTTTTGATCTCGTAGGTTCGTCAGTAATTGTCAACCAAAAAAACGTCTTCAATACTATTATCAATTACGTCCATATTTTCCAATCGTTGTCCGTGGTAAATGCATTCCATCAAATGAAAGCGATCCAACTCAAACATCAATTGAATTTGGTCAAAAATATTTTGCACAAAAATTCTCGCTAAAAAATATAACAGGCAATAAATGTGATCGTAATTCAAATTGTGAAAAAAATCAGTTGACTACAAATAAATTTTATTTAGCGTTTGAATCACAAACATGTTCGGATTATATAACAGAAAAATTTTGGCGAGCTTTTGCCCACGGTACGATTCCTATAGTATATGGTCCTTCTCGTGAACACTATTTAAGAATAGCTCCACCCAATTCGTTTATATACGTTGATGATTACAAGAATAAAGAAGATTTGGCGAATCATTTATTTAAAATAGCCTCAAATCAGACAGAATATGAAAAATATCATAAATGGCGACAACACTACCACGTCAAATATTTAGCAGAGGATGTTGATCCATATCGTTTTTGTGAATTATGTTATAGGCTAAACACAATTAACGATCGAATTTGGTATGAAAATATGAATGATTGGTTTTTAGAAAAATGTAGATAGCCTTAATACATCAGATCAGGTTAAATCTAGTCATCTTTTTATACTTTTCGAAGTATATTCTTTTTTGCTACTTTTATATAATAAAAAACAAAAAAAAATTGAAACACGGCCGATCAAGGTTACAGTGGTTGGGTAAAACAATAGTTTAAGCTCAAATTGTTCATATATTTCTCAAAAGTATCAATGTTCAGTTTTTTTAACTATACTGTATACTTCTTATGGTATTATCACTCGTGCGCAGCGATTATTTTTATAGAAAAATAGGCAACACATCAAATTTAGATTCATTTACGTTCTTTTTTCCATCAAAATGCCAGTTGTCGACCACAAGACTATGTCATACCTGGTAATCTTATGATCGACTTTATAAGATGGTTTCACCTGAGATGGAAGATTGCTGGTCCACTGAAGGAATTGTCGTATTAGATTTAACAAAGTTAAGAGCCATAACATCATTCTTGATTTCCTGCTAGTGTTTTGCACTGTCTTGTTTATTAATACAACAACAAACTTTTTAAAGCTTCGTGTGCTGCATTTTAGATGAAAGAACGCATTTTCGAAAATTTTGGAAAATTAAAAACCTCATAACTCAGTCAAACACAATGTAAACTACTGCAGAATAATATATACGTCATTTTATCCGCGCTATGCTTTGAAATTTAAAAAAAGTTTTGAGAATCAATGAAAAGTATTTCGATTTCTGATTGATCATAATTGTATAATCATATTACGCATAATCACATAAAATGAAGTATATGTTGATATTCTGAAGTAGTTTACATCGTGTTTGGCTGAGTTATGAGGTTTTTGATTTTTCATAAAAACAGCCGAAAAAGAGTTCTTCCATCTGACATAGATTTTAAATAGGTTCTTGGATTTTGTTCTAAAAACAAGCGTTGCCACGACGCTCTATGTTTTTTGCCACGATAATCTATGTTTTTTAAGCATTTTCGAGACTGCCAAAAGTCATGGTAGTACATCGCTGAAAAGTAAACCGCTTCCAGAACTCTTAGGAAGCTCGATCATATGCCGAAACAATGGAAAATGAAGTGGCCGTTCCGTTCCCATTTTTAAGAGAACACTCTAGGCTATCTACTAATGGACGAAAATTAATAGATTTGTATTACAATTTTTTCGACGCTGATCTGGTTCATCAAAGGCATAATAGAAAACCCTGTTGGAAAAAATATTTTCAAATCTTTTTATGTTGTTGGTTCAGAAAAGTTAATCGGAGTGTTACTTGTATTTCAAGTATCGTGAGCTCTAGATAATTTACGTTTCTTAAATAGAGTCGTCTGTTAGCATTTTGAGGATGTTATTTCGTCACAAGATCGTTACTTTGTCATGAATAAATAGTCGAAAGGAGTCAGTTCAACATAGAGTGCACTAAGATCGGAACATTTTTCAGAGAGAGAGAGCCATATGTAATACTTAATGAGATCGAAATATGTTGGAAAACTGGTACGCTAATGAAGTAAGTGGAAATGTAACACTCTTGAGAGGACCGGCAGATCGCTCAAACGGCTTCCATATCACCGAATCGAAAAATTTTAAAAGCTTGTTCGATCAAAACCGATTGCAGATTCGTCTTCTCCATGGTTGATCATGTGGTACGCGATAACTTCTGGATCGGGGCACTTTAGAAAAAATTTTCGACATCGTTTTGTCTTTGGTCCCATACGGTAACATTCTGAAAAATTTTTGAGCAAGACCATGGGAAAAAATTTTCCTAAAGTACCCCGATCCAAAAGTTATTGCGAACCACATAATCAACCATGGAGAAGACGAATCTGCAATCGGTTTCGACCGAACAAGCTTTTGAAATTTTTCGATCCGGTGATATGAGTCTTGCAATCAGATACCTGGTTGTAAGACTGAAGCCTTTTGAGCGACATCGTGGTAGTTTTGAATGAATTCAAGTGAAAGCCAGTTGTTAATACAGACGGTTTAAGTGACTCAACTCGAGCAGAGTCCATACTAGCTTTAAGCTTTCCGTTACTCACGAAGATATAAGCTGACGTGAGCTCAACATTATATGTTTACGATACGAGGTGCAATATCAACAACAAACACCTTATTACAAACATAAGCGCTTCATTATACCATGCCTTTGCCACTAAATGACTTCAATAAGATTTATATTATCCTTATTAGGCATATTCTTATAATTTTAAGATAATTATATAACGACAGCCTTATTATTTATCAATTTCTTTATTTTCTTATTTGCTTTATAAAAAATGATTATTTTTTAATTATAATTTTTTATTATAATTCGCTTTATAAATAATTATTTTTTATAAAGCGAATAAGAAAATAAAGAAATTGATAAATAATAAGGCTGTCGTTATATAATTATCTTAAAATTATAAGAATATGCCTAATAAGGATAATATAAATCTTATTGAATTCATTTGGCGGCTATGGCATGGTATAATGAATATCTTTAGAGCTTTAGATAGTGTAAGTTTAGAACACGTACGTTGTACCTTAAAAAATTATTTTTTGTTCGTTTATTTATATGTAAGCATTAAGTTTATATTTAATTAAAGAGAATAAGAAAGTAAAGAAATTAATAAATAATAAGGCTGTCGTTATATAAATATCTTAAAATTATAATTTCGAGCTTTCGATTGACAACTCGAATCGTCATGTACATAAAAACGCCACATAAAATATTAAAAGCACGCGACTTTGTGTACTTAATATACTTATACTTAATATACTGTTCTGTTCTTTTCTACAATCATCCCTGTTTTCAATATCTTTTCCTGCGTATTCTGAAGTTCGAAATACTGCAACAAGTCATCAATTAAAAGCTCTTGTACTTTAAATGAAAATCCTTACCCTCACCAGTCCGTACCCACATATCTCTAAGTAGAAGAAGTTTTCATAAAAACTTTAATAATTCAAGATAATAGATAGATAATACCGCATTCATCCATCGTCACCCAGCAAAACATAAGCTGATTTTTGTCTCAATAATATTTTCTCAACATTTATTTTAAGAAAAAGTAAGCGCTTATCATTGGAACAAAAAAACTAAAGTTGGTTTTGAGTTGCTGGAAAGTGCATTTTCGTATTCAGTACACTCGATAACCCAAAAGATTTTCTATTTTTGACGAGGGATACTTCAAAAGTTTTCTGTTTTTCCGTTTTCATGAGAAAATAATATTAGTTGGAAAATTTTTCCTAAACTTTTGGAAGTACCCCTCGTCAAAAATAGAAAATCTTCTGGGTTATCGTGTGTGCTGAATACGAAAAAGCACTTTTCAGCAACTCAAAACCAACTTTATTTTTTTCCGGTGATATGAAAACAGCGGAAAGACATGAAAGAAAGTTTGTGATCATTAGCTATTAACTCGAGTGAGAACGCTCAATACTGTTTTTTGCGCCGATAGGAGAGAAACAATAGATTTCTTATGGAAGAGGGTAATACCTTGTAAAATAACTCCTCCAACTATGTAATGACAATCTGTCGCTTTAGTTGGAGGGTTATTAGGATTTCTTCATCGTTAAAATAAATATAGTGTTATATTTAATCTGTTTTTTTTTTGGAACGTTTATTTGCACCACCTTTTCATTTGTAAAACATCATGACATATTATTATCAAAATATTATTCATATGGATTAATATATTTTCGTATTGTATCATCAAACAGGATTAGATTCTATTAATATAAATTATACAAATAGACATTTAGTTTTGGAACAGATCATACTTGGGATATGATTGAAATGCGACTACGAAAATTATAGTTGTGCCATTCGGAACAATGCTTGTATCAACGAACTTTTGTCTGACCTTGTTCGATCCACAATACGAATCTATGGACAAGAACAATGCGATATAAAAAACTGAATATCTATGGAAGAGAAACAAAACCTTTTTCAGATGGATAAATGGTAAAACCAGGTTTGTTTAAAACTCATGACAATTGAATTGAATAATGTAAAGATACTTTTTCAAATTGAATTTAATCTTTTGATGACCAATCTGTCGCTATTAATTGTCTTTGTTGATTTTCTTTTTTTATCATGTTCTCCTAATGGTAAGCGAGAATAATCATTTATACGTTCAACAGATGTCAACTAAAAACAAATATATATATATATATATCTGTTAATTTATTATCTTTTAACATACTTATAATATGGTTTCAACTCTTTTCTTGATGTTAAGTAATAAGTTGATTTTCTATATTGATCCAAATATGTTCAAAATTTAATATATGTTCAAAAATATTTCTGATGTAGATTAATCCAATGGAACATATAATTGTTGATATTAGTGTTCAAGGAACAATTATATTCACCAACAAAAGCAGTGTTACACGTTTTTATGAAAACGTCTTCTACTTACGAGGGAACCTTTCCAGATGTCCGAATGTTTATCTAACGAAATGCGGTGGTTGATAGGTAATCGATCATACTGATTCCGAATGTGATAGCCGTTTTTGTCCACAGGTCTTTTCTAACCGGTTTATAAAAAACTGGTTTTCTAGAAACCTCGGAAAATCCTCCAGAGTTTTTCTAAATAAGTCACAACTGTAGCCCGCGAAAGTCTAATTAAAATGAGACATCTCCCAGTTCTACACAACCTTTCTTTGCAAAATTATAGAATTTACAAGAAAAGCCCTAAATTCATCTTTCCTTCTTCTTTCTGTAGCTCTGAGGTGACAATAAACATTTTTTTTCTTGTAAATTCTATAATTTGCAAAGAAAGGTTGTGTAGAACTGGGAGATGTCTCATTTTAATTAGACTTTCGCGGGCTACAGTTGTGACTTATTTAGAAAAACTCTGGAGGATTTTCCGAGGTTTCTAGAAAACCAGTTTTTCATAAACCGGTTAGGAAAGGCCTATGAGCAAAAACGGCTATCATATTCGGAACCAGTATGATCGATTACCTATCAGCTACTGCAGTTCGTTAGATAAGCTTTCGGACATCTGGAAAGGTTCCCTCGTGAACTATCAACTGAAAGTTGTTAGCTCAATGGA